AGCCAAGCAGTGGGCACTGTGGGACGATCTTGGAGCATACGCCAATGTGAAGGAGGGATTAGTAAAATACAGTCCTGTGCCACATAAAGATGTGTTCAATGACAAGTTTCATCTCCAATGTTGGTTCCATAAGACTGTACTGTCCAGCGACACAACAGAGTGCTCACTGTGACGGTCGCACAATAAAATCACATAGGTCACATTTCTAAGAATGTACTTATTCAGTGTTGGGGAAGAAAGGAGAAAACATCCAAGAGATGGTGATTTTCACAGTCCATTCTAGAATTCCCAAGAGAGCAAGGTTAACTTAAGCCCAGTTCTGACACTTCCTCCATGAAGGATTTTACTCATGCTATCCACACATTACTGCATCTGGCTGGAACTCCACTGCAAAGTACATGCTCAAGTCTCTCTGCAGTTTCCATGTTAGCATCTCAAATATCACTTCATCTGCATCAGTTGTCTGAAAAAATGATTCTGAGTAAGACAATCCTTCATATTAAAAATCAGAATTGGGGGATGGGGTATAGTTCAGTAGTCGAGTGGTTATTCAACACCTTGTGTTCAATCCCAGAAGTTCAAATAAAAGTGTAAAATGTCATTAGAATGATTAATTTTTAAACCAGAAATCGAATTACACTCTGAATACTATCTAACAATAACAAAAACCCCTACACACTGTGTTCAAAAATTCAAGGGTTCATGAACAGAGAAATCTCATTTATGTTAGTGACCATGAACAGTATCTGAAAGGGGTATCCATTTTATTAAACAAAAGCTAGAATTAGAGTATTTGAAATCACTCAAATGAGGACTGGGAAGATGGTTAATTCAGTAATGTGCTTGTCTATGACAATCTGAGTTTGGATCCCCAACACCCACATAAAAGTCAGGCATACTTGTAATCCCAGCAGTGGAGAGGTGGAGACAGAGGGTCCCTAGGGCTCCCAGGCCAGCCAGACTAATCAATTGGTAAGCCCCAGATTAAGTGAGGGACTTCTCTCAAAAATAAGGTAGAGGGGACTGGAGAGGTGGCTTGGAGGTTCAGAGAACTTGTTAATATAGCAGCTATAATCCTAGCTCCTTAAAGCTGAAGCAGGGGACCACAAGTTCAACGCCATCTGGGACAACGTAATGAGCCACTGTCTTTAATTTAAAATCTTTAAAAAGGGTAGAGATGTAATCCAGTGGTAGAGTACTTGCAGAATATGCATGAGGCCCAGGTTCAATCTCCAACACTATAACAAATACATAAATATAAATAAAAATTATGTTGTCATCAGAAACCCATTTTCAGGTTAAGAATAGTATAATTCACCTCTATTAAGTTTAAAACTCAGACAGACATGCCCTCTCCACACCGGGAATCTTTACATAGTAAACCTGATGTTCTAGGACTGCTGCCTTTGGGGCTGTCGAGATAGCTCAGTGGTTAAGAATGCTCACCGCTCTTCCAGAGGACCCATGTTCAGACCAGAACCTGCATCTTGGGGCTCACAACTGCCTGTAACTCCAACTCCAGAAAACTCAATTCCTCTGGCCTCCTCAGGCCCTATACACACATACAAACCTATACACAGACATGTACAATTTAAAATCAAGTAATTCTTTTTTTTAAAAAAAGGATGCTTCCTTTAGAAATGTAATACTAAAACACTGTCATACAAAGGAAACATTATTCCCTCTGATAGTACACAAAGATCAGATTTACCTGTTATAAAACTTCACATTCCTTCTCAGAAACTGCTGCAGTAACAGATGTATTTGCTATGTGTTAACCACACCACTCCTCTGAAATCTTAACTACAGTGCACACAAACTTTTATATATAATACACATAATTTATGTTCATAACATGAGTACCTAGTAGTATGTATAACATCTGCCTGTTTTCAAAGGAAAATTTTGAAAGCAATTTTATCATATACCCCAATGAAGGTACCTTTCTAATTTAAACTTTCTGAATTTTCTTTCCACGGACATTTTTATTTTAGCTTGCATCTCTATGAGAATCGAACAACAGATTCAGTCATGCTGCGAAGCATATGAAAGCATTTCAACCCGAAGCGGTATTTCTGTGTTCATGCCCCCCTCCAGCCTCTCTGACTGCACTTCTGCACACTAATGCAGATCACCCAGCATCTGCACGTTTCCCTTCTCCTCTCACTGCAACCCAATGCAAGTACTTAAGAGAAGCTAGCAGTATAATCCCACATGATACTGCATCTGTGTTTACATCTGACTCTAATCACATGCTTAGAAGTGATTTATAAAGGAGAAAGAAAAGGGCAAAAAAATCACTGTGAGAAATATTTTAGAAATATTCCCAATACCGCTTTCTCGTATTTCAAAACCGCTAAAATTACACACATAGAGGTGTACACGATTTCAAAAATAATAAAGGCTAGACAAAGAAACAAAACAAAAATAATAATTATTCCTCATGCTTTTATACAGGGTCATCTAGCCAAGCAACGTATGCTTTCAGTTTATATAAGACACTTCTGATGTTTGGCTTCATGCTAGAATTTCATACATGTGAACTCTGATAAGTTCCTTAATTCATGAAAAAAAGAAATTAATTATACTCATTCATGGAGATCTCAAGAAGTAGGAGAGTACCACATTAAAGAAAGACCTGTCAGAAATGAAAAACGGCGTTTACAGACACAATCCATAAGCAGTTCACACAGACTTACCTGACAAGTCAGGTATATCCTATTTAATTCAAGACAAACACTGTGGCTACTGCATTATGGCAGAATCACAAGCGCATTTCTAGAACTACCATTAAAGTAAATAGGGAAAGAAATGCTTCTAACTTCTGACCCAAATGCAAGGCTTAAGGATTATACTGACTTAACTGTATTGACACAAAGCAATAACATAACTAAATACTTTAAATTTCATGCAATTATTTATAAGCCAAAGCCAATGTGTATGGTTTGCTTAAAGTGGTAATTATTTGAATATAACCAATCAATTAACAAATTGTTAAAGCCTAAAAAAACCTTGTATTTCTTAATTTATAACTGGTAAACTCCAAGTTAATATGCTGCCAGATTCTTCACTAAAGGTATGCATGGGATGAGAATGAGCCACCATTAAGTGATAAGGAGACTTACAGGACAAAGGATAAAATCAAAGTCTACAACCAACAACAGATGACTAGCATCTACTTTAGTTTCCCAACCCATCTACAGTCTTAAGTTTACTCGAGTTATGGGAAATTACTACCCAGTACTGTCACTTAACTGAAACTTCTTTTACCATACCTAACCATGGACATCTTTAACATTTGAAAATGCGTTTTTCAAGACTCCTACTATGAACAATAACAACAACAACAACAAAAGGTTTAAAAGTATGGTGATGAATATGCAAAATAAATATACGTAATCACTGCATTTTCTTGTCCAAGTCTAAAACCAAACTTTTTATAATATAAATATAACTGCTTCAATGTAATACCAGAAAGCTCCAATTTCAAGATTTTGGAGCTTTAATTTGTAAATACATTCACGTGAACACATTCCTCCCTCTTTCTAGTGTCAGTAAACTAGAAGACACTTAGGCTTGTTGGAAGACTCAGAAGGACACAGAAGATTCCCCCTCAGCAGAGAGGACCAGCAAGCTAGGATGCTGCACCAGCAGTCGTTTTTGTTAGCATCCTCTACTGGTGGTTTCTAAAGACAGCAAGAAGAAATGGTGCTAATGATAGAAAGGTATGTGCCTGCTATTCCATCTAAGGTGAATTAGTCAGCATGCAGCCACTGGGAGAAGAGCTCATTTGTCAAGAATAAAGGGGGGGGGGACATCAAACAGAACAGAACTTTGGAAAATAGAAAATATTTCTAAATACAACAAAGCATTAAATTATAAACAGTAAAAATCAATTTCAACAATCCTAATGCCATTCCTTTAGATGGCTAACATCATTACCATGATGTCCCCACACAAGGTTTGATGATTTAGGCAAGCCTGCTCAATTGCTACACCCTTGTTAAGTTACAGTTTTTGATGCTGTCATCCGTATTCTAGCAAGGAAATAAAAATGTTTTACTGCTGGCTTAGCTGTAAAATCTAAATACCTTACTTCAAAAATGAAAACAAATATAATTTACACATAAATAACATAAGATATCTCTATTACAATCTCCCACTCTATACACCGCTATTTATTCATTTAAATGAATTTTAAGAGTTAACGTCTTTCCAGATAATTCTCTCCCCAAACATCTGCAACTTAAATATGACTGCGTTGCTAAGAAATATCAACCAGCACCTATGCCCAGGCTTCACAACACAATGCACATAACTTCATTTTTAATTTGCAAAAATAGCAGCCTAAATCAAACAGCACGGCTGCAACGGTCAGCGATGGATGAAAGCATCAGAGAACAAAAAGAAATACAAAGAGAGAGCCAAAAGTGACGAAAATGGAAGATACCTGTGGTAGCACAGCGCTATCTCACACACCTTTTGTTTTCTCCGAGTAACGAATACTGCAGTCAAGACATTTCAGGCTCAAGAGCCCCAAATCTGTTTTTCTAATATTAAACACAAAGGAAAAACACTGACAGCAAGCGTGGTAAATAAATCCCTCCCCTGAGAAGGAAGGCGGCAAACAGGAGGGGGCTGACATACATGCAGGGGAAAACTAAACACCATCTTTTTTCTACCTGCACAAGTTGCCATTTGCTGCAGCGATCAAGAATCTCCTTCCTGTTGATTTCAAGCACCTTTCGGGATCGCTTTCCACCCTTAAGTCATCTGTTGATATGCCTTATGTGTGTGACATTAATATCTCAGGATCTCTAGGAGAAAAATCCATTCTTTCCTGTTCAGGTAAACATGTTTACAGCAGCTGCACAGACGCTGGGTGGTTCAGATTCACATGTCACACACATGTCGTCAGCAACAAGAAAAGCCCCTTTCTCTGGCAATCAACATTTTAAATAAGGTAAGGGCAGCGAACAGCCCTTTCCTAACGAACTTACCTTTCATAAAGCCACATCAGCGATAGCGGCAACAGCTCAATGTAGAACAGACACTATTTGACGCTAGAAGCAGGAAATTACAATTGCGGTAGCCTGTGCTCAGGTCCTTGCCACCACCAGTCCCCTCTCCACAATGACGCTACCCAACACACCTTTCCCTCCGAACGAACAGGCTTCTCTGAAACACAACATCTATCTGAACAACTGAAAATCATTCATGGCAGCGGGGATTTTAATGTAGGCTCAGATATATTCAAAATGTGTTTACAACCGAGAGGAATCCTCTTTGGAACAGCCTAAAATCTTCGTATCTGCTTCTAGACAGGAAATCCCACACAAAATCTAAAATTGCCAGGAAAGGTTACAAAACCTGGCGTTTGGCATCCCGGAGGGGAGGGAGCAACACAGACCGGGCGGGGGTGGGGCGCGGGGGGCGCGCCAGGGTTGCCACTTAAACAGGATTTCCTAGTTCTCCGGACGCCACATCGATGCCATCAGGGGCGCATTTATTAACCCCCATTCTTAAAAACTCGTCGTTTAACGCCCCGCGGGAGCCCCACGGAGCCACCGGGTGCGAAAGGCACGAGGAATTCCTTATATAGCAGCGGCCGCAGCAGCACAGGGCTGTGGCCGCCCATCACCACACACAGGTACCCGGGCGGGGGCATCCCCCGGCCGCCGCCGCAGGGACTGTCCAGACAATGACCAGGAGCAGACGGCTGTCCGCGCCGCGAGCCGAGAGCACACACTCGCCTAAGAGAGGCACCATCTAGCAACTCCTGCGTCTCTCCACGCTGGGAGAGCCCACGATGCACCCACCGATACAGGTCGGAGTGTCGCGCTCTCTCCTGGTGCCTGTGGCTTTCCCTCTTTCTTAAAAAACAAAAACAAAAAGACCAACAACAACAAAAAACTCTGCAGCCAGGCCGAGGAGTGTGTTCCCCTGGCACATCCGCGCAAATCAATACCCCCGCGCAGCTGCACCGCGAGCCGCAGCCCCGTGCGCCCGTCGGGCCGCCCGCCCCCTCCCCCACCCGCCCCACTCGCGACCCCGAGCGCCAGCCCAACTCCATTATCTGCCCTCGGCTCGCGCGTCCGGCCCAGGTAACAACTTCCCCAAACCGAAAGAGCCAAAGCCAGGCGCATGCACACAGCTCCCGTGCCCGCGGGGACTCGGGCTGCCCGGGCGTCCCGACCTGTCTGTGCTGCTTCCCGGCCGTAAGCAGCAGGCGGCGAGTCCACGCACACGCTCGCCCCACGGCAGCAGCTAGGAGCCGCCCGACCCCGCTCGGCCCCCGACGGGCACCGCACGCGCGGGGTTCCAGCTCCCCGAGCGCCCGGCTAGCGGCGGCCCCGCGCGTCCCCATCCCCGCCCGCCCGCGAGCGCGCGGGGCGCAACTTTACCGCGGGCGCCCGACCCGGCGCGCAGCGCCCGCTCCCGCGCACCCGCGCGCACGGCCGACACGCAGCCGACACGCAACCGGCCCGCGGCCGCCCGTCCTCTCCCGCCCGCGCCCGCCCCGCAGCCCGCGCCCGCCTGCCCGCCCGCCGCAAGTTTGTTCCCCGCCGCCGCGGCCTGCGCGGAGGGAGGATCGCGCGCGGGGAGGCGCCGAGGGGCGGCAAGAGTGGAGAAAGTGCGGAAAGAAGCAACAGCCGCTCCACCCGCGGGCGGAAAAGTGGCCGGGCGCGGCGGCGGGATGCGGCGCGGCTAACGGTCCCCGGCGGCCGCGCGAACCGCTAGGCGCAGAGGCAGGTAAGACATAACGGTCCAGGACGGCGGCCGCGGCGGCGGCGGCAGCGGGGCGCACTACTTTACTTTCCCACTCCACTCGGCCCGGCCCCGCCGCCGCCCCCGGCCCGCTCGGCCCCGCGCCCCTCGTCCGGCCGCCCGCTGCCCGCCGCCGCGCCGGGCCCCTCCGCCACTCACCGTTATTGCGCCGCGGGTTCGCCTGCTTTCTGCGCTTACACCTGGGGCCATCCGCCATGATCCTCTCGCTTGTGTCTAAATGCTCGAGTCACCTCCTCCCCCTCCTCCCTCCCTCCCTCCCTCCCTCCCCTTTCCCCCCCCCCCCACCCGCCGCCTCCACCCCTCCCCCTCCCCACCGCACCTGGTTTACGACACTCGCGGCTTTACGACATCACCTTCCTAACACCTAGCGGCGCTCGCTCTACGGCCGGAACCTTGTTGCTAGGGCCGGGGCGGTTTGCGGCAGCCTCGGACGCTGCGGAGTTTGAATCCGGGAGGCGAGGGAAAAGTTTTGCTCAGGTGTGGTGGGGTGACGGAGGAGGGTGCCGGGACGCTGGGGACGGGCCCGGGAGGCGACAGGGTGGCCTCCTGGGCCAGGTGGAGCTGGCGGCACGGGCCACCCCCGCGCCGACCCCGCGCGGACGGGTGCGCACTCCTCGGATCCCGCGCGCTCCAGCTGTCGGTGCGGCGGCCCCGCGCGCGTGCGCGCCGGGGACGTGGACGGCATGGACGCGCCGCGAGCTACCTGGCCAGTTCTGTCTAGACTCACTCCCCTCCCACGGACGCGCGGGTTTCCCCAGCCTACCCGGACGGGAAGTGACAGCAGTTGGGTTGAACTTCAGCTGGACGGAGAAGGAGGCGAGAAATTCCGCTCTCAGGAAAGCAGCATGAGTAATCCCCCGCACGGTGCCAGGCTCACTTCCTCATCCGCGCCTAGTTCACCTGCTGTCACCTTGCCTACTCCGCCCTGCAGGGTCCCGGCGTGGCCAGGCTCGTGGGCGGTATGACTTGCCCTTGAGGCATAAACAGCTCTAGGGGAGCACGCCTGGAAACCTGTAATCCGAAACTTTGAGAGCGTGAAGCAGGATGGCCGAAAGTTCAAGGCCAGCCTTCACTACAGTGGGACTCTGCCTCAAAATAACTACACTTTCACACATATCTGAGCAGTATAATGACCTCAAGGCTAAAAGCAAAGCTGACTAGTGTTCGCTGAGGCTGATTTTTATCTTAAGTCCTTGACTTTGTACAAGACCCCCAAATACTTTGATACCCATCTTCAATAACTAGGATTTAAATTTACCTTTCTCTCCCTGCTTTCCACCCCTTTCAAAGGAGGAATTGTGTGGGGCAACTTTATAAGATAAATGACCTAAGCCATCATTTCAGATATGTAGTTACTAAATGTTAGTGTATAAACGAGAGTTGTGGATAGAAGTAACAACTGAAACATGCCTTGGAGTATAAGAAATAATACACTAAAGCTGCACAGTGTGGATACATGAAAGCTGCTTGGTAAGTTTCTGCCCATAGGTTCTGCCATGCCTTAGGCAAGGTATTTTATTGTGTGACTAGTCATGGTGACATACACCAGTAGGCTTTGCTTGTGGGAGGTGGAGGCAGGAAGGTCACAAGGCTATCTCTGGCTGCATAGTGAGACTCTGTCCCCACCCCTCAAAAAAAAAAAAAACCCTCCAATCCCCAAATGTTAAAAAGAGTCATTAAATGAAGAAAGTGTACAGCTGAAGTCCAGTAATTAAGCAGTGATGGCTGTAGATGAACAGCTTCGCACATTTGCGGTGTCTGAAGAATGGGGGACACATGTTCTTTGCACATCAGCTCTGTTTTTGTTGCAAAACTAGACTGTCTCTTGGTCCTTGTACATATAGGCAGTGCTTCTTTTCCTCGGAACCCTGTTAACTGAAACACATTTGTATCAGATGGTGTTCTTGGATTAGTAGCCTTGGATCACCCTATAGCTCAGCGCTTAAGCTTGGGAGCCCTCTCTCTGCCTTAGCGCTGTGAGTGGCTGGGATCACGAGAATGAGCCATGGCCAGGCCTCAGTTGCTTTCTGAATCAGATCATAAACTTTTGTCTTTTACCAGAAGTTGTCTAGTTTCCACTTGTTACAGTCACCCTTGTTTCAGCCAAAAAGAACATTTTTTTTTTTCACTGTACCACCCGTTTTACCTTCCCTTACATTTGGGAGGTGTCACACATCCAGTTCTTTTTCTGGCTTGTAAACCCTTCTGTGTTCTTAGCGGAACAATCAGAGGCCTACACAAACAAACAGAAGATACTTTGTTCCTTCTGGGGTTGCTGATGTAGTATGTGGGGGCAGTTATTAACTATGGGGATGGTAAATCCTTCCTTGCTATTTCTGTATCTTCAACACCTAGCAGAGTACCTAACCGCCTAGTCGATGTTTAATAAATATATCTGAAATAAGTTTTGTCTAAGTTTTCTGAACCTGTTCTCATCAATGAAGTAAAGATTGTGTGTTTTACTTTGTCTTAGGAACAGTTGAGGTAAGTGTGTAACACAATAGTTGCCATTGATGCCCATGCTGATCTTGATCTTAATCTCTCCATTATCATTTTCCTTTTCCCCAAATAACTACTTCGGCTCAGTTCTATTTTTAAAACATGCCCAGGAAATACTGGTAAGCCAAATTTAATACAAAGTTTAACTTTTACAAAAGCCTCTGATAACTTACAAATTAAATATTTGACTTCTATTCATAGTTTCATAATGTTATGGAAGATATTTAAAATCTGTACTAGAAAGAGAGACAGAAGTCTCAGAATATAAAGTACTACTTTAAACTTGATTCTTGTCTGATAGTTTAACCAAAAAATAGGGAAAATACTTTTGGAACCAACTTATGAAGGAAGTAACTATTAAGGTTTAGATTAAATCCAGCACTTGGGAGGTAGAGGAAGGAGAATCAGAAGGTCAAGGCTATATGCTGAGTTCCAGGCCAACCTGGGCTACAGGAAACCCTGTCTCAAATTAACGAGTTTAGATAAAGGGGGTAACAAGACTAGTGTGAGTTTAACATGCTTCATGTCTTGTTCACGATGACTGTGACACATCACAGAACATGCCTACACTCATGTGTTAGTCAAATGTTAACACTACTTTTAACACTAGGATTATATGTGTTGAACAAGAAATACTGTAAAAAGTGGATTACTATATTTTCAGAATTTACTGGAAAATGTAAATGGATGGACTATTTTCAATTATAATTTTTTCCTATAAATGTTTCATACTCTTTGCACATACTTCATGTAAGATTCATATATACATTAAGATAGACTGGTAAATTACTATTTTGAAGTTTAAATCAGGTGTTCTACATCAAGGGTATAGCACTTTCCAAGTGCAATTTAAAAGTATGATGGCAATTCTTTAGACCTCATCAAACTTAAATGTCAGGTGTCTCAAGGAAGGTGTCTGTGTGAGTGCCAACTCTCCGTTCAGTACCTGTTTTCACACTGGACTGTTGAAGTGGTGGGAGTGTACTCATTTAGCTAGGGTTTCTACTGCTATGATGAAACACATGACCAAAGGCAGCTTGGATGATGTCTTAGTTACTGTTCCATTGCTGTGAAGAGACACCATGACCAAGGCAATTTTTATAATAATAAAAAAAAAGCATTTAACTGAGGGCTTGCTTACAGTTTCAGAGGATTAGTCCATGATCATCGTGATGGGAAGCAGGCAAACACGGCACTGGAGCAGTAGCTGGAAGCTTTAAGTGCTGATTCACAGGCAGCAGACAGAGAGGGTGAGAGACTGGGCCTGGCTTGAGCTTTTTAAACTTTAAAGCACACTTTCAATGACACGCCTCAAACAAGGCCACACCTCCTAATCCTTCTCAAGCAGTTTCACTCCCTGGTGATTAAGCATTTAAATATGTGAGCCTATGGGAGACATCCAAACCACAGGGGAGAAAAGGATTAGTCAAGCTTAAACTCTCAGATCACATTCCACTGAAGGAAGCCAGGGCAAGGGCCTGGAGGTACAAACTGTTGCAGAAGCCATGGAGGGGTGCTGCTTACTGACTTGTTCATCATGGCTTGCTCAGCCTGCTTTCTTATAGAACCCAGGACCGCTGGGCCCTCTTACCTCAGTCATCAATCAAGAAAAGGCACTACAAGCCACTTTGGTGGGGGCGTTTTCTCAGCTGAGCTTCCCTTTGCTCAAATAAGTCTAGCTTGTGTCAAGTTGACAAAAAACTGACCAGGACACATGTAAAGAATGCAGGGACCCAGCTGCTTCTCCATAATGGCTCAGCTGAGACTGGATTTGCTGTTGATAATGGATCAAAGGAAGCTGGTGGTCACCTCACTGATGCAGTTCAACTAGATTCTGCAGCCAGAACCCCAGGGCAATGCTTAACCAACAGTCCTCCTCAGGGCCCATGCCAGCTTCTCTAATCAAGCCTCCTTGGAGGTGATGAAGGGGCAGGTTTTCCTCATGACTCCAGGGAATTTTTATTATGTGCTGCACCCACAAAATTTCTCTCCGACGAGGCTCCCACTTTTAGTAGAAGTCAATGAACTGTTGACAGGTAGGGCTGTTAACATAAGTGGCATTTTTCAAAACATCAGATATAAAAGCATAAATTTAGGGAGATATTTGCAGAATGTCAGTGATATCTCCAAAAGTCAATACAGTAGTAGCTCCTCTAGAAGATGTCTTTTATTGGTACCATGTGTGAACATGAGTGACATGCTCAGGTGATTGACACATGAGAGCCCAGGATGAACAAATGGTTTGGAGTGGAGTGTATTTAGTGTGGTGGCAGGGGTCTGGCATTCGGTTTGCACTGCTGTCTTGGCCCCTTTGTTTCCGTCGATGTCTTTGTTTGGCGTCTTGACTTCTCCGAGCAGCTGACTGATTTTGTTACAGAGTGCATCTGTTGTCTGGCTTACACCCCTGGCTTTCTGTGACCCATGGTCTCAGTTACAGGCACTGCCAGCACTTACCCCTTGGAATGTATGTAGTTAAAAGTTAAAAAAAAAATATTAGCCTGTTTTAAAACTTTCACCACTGTGTTAGGGTCACATGAAAAAGTTTGTGACAGAAATATGCCGTGTTCAGTTACATCCACAACTCTAAGGGGTCTGACCTTGCTCATCCTTTTTCCTCCTTGCTTCTGGTTTTTTTGCTGCTTTATCTTGTATAACTAGGCCACACAGTGTGCCCCACCCCACTATTTTACTTTTTAATCATTCTCTTCCTCTGTCTGTCTTTGTCCCAGGTCTGACATAGTTCCTTTCCCTTTATCTTTTAGGTCAAGGTTTTTAAAAATTGTTCCAACTCTAAGACGTCCTGCTTGTTTGCATGATGATTACTCTTCTGACTGGTTTAACCCAGCCTCTGCCTGCCCGTGCTCTGAGAGCTGGCTTCTGTGGACCCCATCACTCGGGCTCCTTGGTCCTCTGAGTTGGTTTGGTTTCAGCCAGTTTGGGAAGCATTGGCAAAAGATCAAAGTAAGGAGAGAGTCCAGAATATTTATTCCCTCGCTGTGGCTACAGCCTCATCTTCACCAAGGCCCGTGGCTCCTGCCAGACACCTGTGTCTTGTAGCCAAGTTCTAGAAACTGCTTCTCCCCCTTGTACCTTCAGGCCTAGAGATAGAATGATTAGATTCTCTACCACTCCTTTCCTTAAAAGCTACCTCCACCTTTGTAAGAATTCTCCTCATTAAACTCTCTTCAGTGACCCTTTGAAGGTGCCACCTGCTTCCTGCCAGGACCCTGAGTAATATGTAAGTTGGAATTAGAAATTGTGTTCAACCTTGTCAATCAAGAGTACCCACCGATTCTAAATTAAAATCTGAATGTGAGGTAAGTATCTTATGTTATCCTGACATATGTTCTTCATGCAAAATCTGGCAGATACCAGTTATTCAATAACTGTAGAATGAAGGTTCTATCATCTAAGATCTAGGTGAGACAACTTCAAAATAGCAATTTAAATCGGAGTTTATGTGTACTTAAGACACAGTTCCCAGGGTATTTCATAATGACTGGTTTTTGCCACTTGGCCATTTGCAGTAATGACTCTGTGTCTTCCCTCCTTGCATGGGCCTAGGTGCCACCATGCTGTGAGTTCTGACCAGTGTGATAGAAATAGAAGTGATGTGTGCAGCGCTGAGGCCAGTCTTCAAAGGCCATGACTCACCATTCTTGCACTTCTCCCTGTTGGTTGAAATGAGACCTGCTATGCCAGGCTCCAAAAGGAAGGCAGACCAGAACTGAAGAGGCATGGCTCTGGACGCTGAAATACCATCATCAGCCCCAGATTTCCCTTAGAAAGAAAGACAGAAACACCATGGATCAGCCACCTTATCAGAAGTTGTGTTGATACTCAGCCGGCATCACTCCTGTGTTGTGTGGGTATGTTTGTGTTCTCTTGGCTGCTGTGAAAACCTGACCCACCAGTGAATTAAAACCACATTCAATAGCTTATCATCCTGGAAGACAGAAGTCCAAAGTGGGTGTCACACAATTAAATGATTCTCTATCAAGGTTTTGGCAGGATTAGGGGCATCAGAAAGCTTCAGGGGAGAACATTTCTTTGCCTTGTCCAACTCTGAGGGCCACTCATGCTCCTCAGCTCACGGGCCTCTTTCTCCACCTCCAGACTCACCAACGTCTGTAGAGCCTTTCTCCAATGGCTTGCTCACTGGCCCACTGTTCTGCTCATCCACCCAACAAAGTAGATGCTTTCGTGATGATCTTAGCCCAGCCTAGATCATCCCATCTGTCTCCCTGCTTTAAGATGAGCTGATAAGCAAGTTCCGTTCCACCTGAAACCTTATATCCCCTTTGCCACGTGACTAATATAGTCACAGGTTAAATTTGGGAGGCATTGTAATATATGTTTAAGTTTTGTGATTGAGAAACAAGTTTTTATTAACATTTTCATCTTTAATTTCAGTGCAGCTTTCCAGTATTATGCAAATTAGTCATTACTCTTTATGCCACATAGAAATCTTTAATAATTAAGTATTAATTACTTTTTTCAACATCTGTTCCTGAGAGCATTTTATGTGATAGACACAGCATGGATCTATAAATATCTAGCACAGTCCCTGACTTCAAGAAACTTAAAGATTGTGGGAGAAGTAGATTTGTCAAAAGTGACCATACAAATGGCAGGGAGGCATGGTTACACATAGGAGATACTGAGGTAGAAGATGTCTGTACTGGAAACGATGGAGTTTATCTGAGTTCAAGTAGAGCAGAGAGAAATAAAGGTGAAAATCACAAGATATGAAAAATCCCAGGATGAAAGCCTAGCCCTTCCAGAGGTAAACCTGTAGAGGTGAGGGTTTGACTATAAGGTGTTCCTGGTTCCAGATGAGGCTGTGGAGGTGGGCGAGTAGGAGACAGATTGTGTGAATGATGCTTTGAGAATTTGGGACATTATATTGAAAGTAACTGTAGGACATTGCCTTGGATCTTAGGAGGACTGCATTACACAAGATGTTAATTAGTATACTGAGAAGGGAAAATAAAAATGAGCAGGATGAACAATAAGAGAACCCTAGCATTTTTCTTTAGAATAAGCATTTAAGAAGGAATTCAAGAAGGAATAGCCATGTGGATGCACACATACCCGTGAGGATCCCAAGGAATCTCAGATGGGGTCAGCATTCCCAGAGGTATTAACAACTCTGTAGCTGTGTTAAAGGTTCAGCATTAATATTTCCTCTGTTGTCAGTATTACCAAAATTGCACCAGGCTGCATATTCATATGGTGTTGCCAGCTCTTTAATGATGCCTCACTACCATGACAGACCCCCAAAATATATATGCTCCATGAACAAGTATTAAAAAGGAGCCCCAAATGTACCCATTAATTCTTGCTGTTTACTGGTCATTATTTTTGTTCTAACAGAGGAGTGGTACTCCTAGCCCTGTGAGATCGGCTGTCTTCCAGGTCCCTGCTTCCAAGAAGGCAGATTTGTTTGGTTTTGCTGGGTTAAAAAGTATCTGTACATGTCAGGCATATGGAATTCCTGGGACTGTCAAGCATTCTCCTTTGCAGAGCTAATCATTCTTCCACATACCCCTAAATGCCTCATCTCACAACATGTTTTTGTTTTATTTCATTTCAAATTATGTGGGTGTGGGCACATGTTTACATGAATGCAGTTGTTTGTAGAGAGCAGAGGAAGTTATTGGAGCCCCTGGAACCTGAATTATAGGACGTTATGAGCTGCTCACAGTAGGTGCTGGGAGCAAACTAGTGACCTATAGTTGGATTTTTTTTCTCTTACTCTTTGCTCTTTGGGGACCCACCACCCAGCTCCCAAATAAGTACATGGAGGCTTATTCTTACTTATGAATGCCTGGCCTTAGCTGGGTTTGTTTCTCGCCAACTTTTCTTAAATTATCCCATCTATCTTTTGCCTCTGGGCTTTTATTTTTATTCTATATAACTTTCTTTACTTCTTACTCCGTGGCTTGCTGTGTAGCTGGATGGATGGCCCCTGGAGTCCTCCTCCTTCTTTTCTTGCTCCTCCATCTTCTCCTTCTTCTTCTATTTATTCTCTCTGTCTGCCAGCCCCGCCTATCTTTCTCCTGCCTAGCTATTGGATGTTCAGCTCTTTATTAGACCAATCAGGTGTTTTAGGCAGACAAAGTAACACAGCTCCACAGAGTTAAACAAATGTAACATAAAAGAATGCAACACATCTTTGCATCACTAAACAAATATTCCACAGCATAAACAAATGTAACATATTTAACTAATATTCTACAACAATGGCCTCTGCAAGGTAATACAGTGCTCCAGCCACAAACCCTGACCATGCACACAAACATTCTTCTTTCCCCACTTGTGCTGGAGATTGAAGCTGGAGCCTCACACGTGGCAGGCAAGCACTCTACCTCCAAGCTGTCTCCAGCGCTATTGCTACATGGGGTTTTGTTTTCTTCATCAATCTCCTCTCTCGCTCTGAGCTTTTTTTTTTTTTTTTTTTTTTTTTGGTTTTTTGAGACAGGGTTTCTCTGTGTAGCTTTGTGCCTTTCCTGGGACTCACTTGGTAGTCCAGGCTGGCCTCGAACTCACAGAGATCCGCCTGGCTCTGCCTCCCGAGTGCTGGGATTAAAGGCGTGCGCCACCACCGCCCGGCTCGCTCTGAGCTTTTAATCTCTGCGTTTGTGACGCTTAAGCTAGCACTTCTGCTGTGGACAGTAGACGTTCTCGTCACTGGGGACTCCCTGCTCAATAAGCTTTTGTGAAGAACAAGGGGGAGGCAGTCTATGTAAGTTTGTACTGGTGTCTAGCACTTGGTCAACTGTAAATGAAAGGCAACAACAAAAACATCAAGTCCACAAGGATTAAATCTCTTCCATGTTAAGAAAACACTAACAACATAGTCTGCTGGAATTCCTACAAAGTTCTTTCTAACCTAAGGCTAAAAACAAACTCTTACCCCTGAAAAAGTATCACCTCAGGTGGAATGATTGCATCCGAGAGCCAAGAGGACAACGAAGCTAATCTGGTAAGCTTTAGCTGGAGTGTTGTTTGGAGATGCAGGTGACTTTCAGGGGTGTGCGGTTTAAACCACTGTGTGTCTCCAGGTAGTAGACTCGCTCCAAGGCAGACGGCACAGTCTGCAGTGCGGTGGGGGAGGCGCTATGTGGAACTTACTATCCAGCTATAAGTTAAAGATTATAAGAGAAACTCTGAATTTGGTTTCTTGTTTTGAATTTCACAGACATCAATTTGAATGAGCTGACACAAAATGATGGTAATTTATAAAGATAAGAGGGTTCTGTTGTTACTGTTTTTTGTTATTGTCTTGTGGATCCAAATCTAGGGATGGAAGCCCTCCAGGTACACTGGCTTTGCCTCTGCGTCTCTCTGCTCCTCTGTTGCATTGTTTCCTGGCTGTGCAGGGAGGTGGATGGCCTGGAAAGAGGTACGTAGAGGCATTCAGAAATGCACAACCACACATCACTCTACAGTGCTTGGAGGAAAAACAAGCTTTCTTAGCCCCAACTGTGTGATTAAAGATTGTATTAAATCTTTTCAACATGAGCAGTTTACGTAACTATAATAATAATAATTTGGGAATATACATAAACATTACATACAGCTTTAGTACTACACTGCTTTTACTTACCAGTCAAATTTTCCTTTAGATCTACATGACCTTTGTATTCTTTTTTACTGGACTATAACATTCCACAACTGATCAATGGACTGTAATATACTAAACCAGTCACATATTATTGAAAATTTAAATTACTTGTAATATTTTGTTTTATACAGAATAAAAGCTGTTACCATACAGTTTTTGTTTTGGCTTGCTTTTTGATCATTTTATATAAAAATATCCTCAAACCTGTAATGAATTAGTAAATGGGAATGAACATGGTTGCCCCCCCCCCTTTTGTCAGTGTCTCTCTATAATATAGCTCTGGCGGTCTTAGAGCTTGATATGTAGATCAGGCTAGCCTTGAACTCACAGAGCTCTGCCTGCCTCTGCTACCAGAGTGCTGGGATTAAAGGCATAAACCACCCTACCCAGCTTAGAGCGGAGAGACAGACTAGGTTCTGCGAAAGAAACTCTTGTTTCTAATTGTAAGCCTGCCTTTTAACAGGTGAGCCATCTCTCCAGTGGGTTGTGTCTTTTAAAGGTATGGCTAGCTTTTGAGAAGGATTGTGTTCCTGTGTGACGTATATGAGAGAGTGTCTCACCATGACTAATTTTTTTTTCTAAGTTGGGGGCTTATTCAGAATGGCAGGAAGCATTTGAATTCCTTGTCGTTTTACAAAGGATGGCGTCATAGTTTGATTTCTATTGTTGTAATAAAACACCACAACCAAAATAACCTGGAGAGAGAAGGGTTTATTTCAGCTTGCAATTCTCAGGTCAGTCCAGCCCTGAGGAAAGTCAAGGCATGAACTCAAGCAGGTCATAGACCTGCAATCCGGAACCAAAGCAGGGGCTGTGGAGGAGTGCTGCTTACAGACTTGCCCCTGCTTTTACAGAAAATTCAGCCTGCTTTCTTATAGTACCCAGGACCACCAGCCCAGGGGAGACACTATCCACAATAGACTGCCCCCCTCCATCATCAATCAAGAAAACACCCTACAGATATGCTTGCCGGCCTGACATGGAGGCATTTTCTTGATGAAGATTCCTTCTTTCCAGAAGACCCTACCTTAGGTGAAACTGACTCAAAAACTAGCCAGAACAGATAGAAAACATTTAAATGGGACAAGAACCTGTATGAACAGTGTACTCTGTATTAAATTAATTCACACATACACGTTGTTGTTGTTGTTGTTGTTGTTTATAAAGCTGGAGACCAAACTTGGGTTCTGTTCTATGTCAGGGAAGTACTCTGCCCATGAACCACTTCCTCTACTCTGGTATAATTTGAAATTAACATATTTTAATGAAGGTTTTCACAGAGAACTGGCTTTGGCTTCTGACTGATACTTTATTATTTTTATTAAATTTTCTTCGACAATTTCATACACATACATAATGCATTCTGATTACCTTCACCTCCCCTCTCTCTGTTGTCTCCCCCTACCCCCGCTAACTCCCTTCCTCCCCTTACAGGACAGTTTCCCATATCCATGTCATTTTTTGTTTTTGCAACCCACTGAATTTAGCCACTGCAAGACAATGGATGTGGAACTCTCTGCTGGAGTGTGGTGGACTTAGCAGTGGGTATACAACTGCAAAAAATGGCAGTCCCTTCCACAGCTCCTATCAACAGCCAATAGTTCCCCAAGGAGGGGTAAGTCCCCATGAGCCCCTCTTCCTTCCGTGACTATCGCCAGGGCCGGTATTATGTATGCACAGTGAAAGCATCTGCTGCTGCTTGAGATCATGATTGCAGTAGCTCTGTCCATGCCCAGAAAGTAGCATTGCCCAGCCTCTCTCCCTGTCATCAGACTCTTACACTCTTTCTTGATATACTCAGGCCTTAGAGAAGCGTGATAGAAATGTCCTGTTTAGAGCTAAGCATTCAACTTTCACTTAATCTCAGCACCTTGAATAGCCAAAAGTCACTGCCTTTTACTGCAAAGAGAAGCTTCTCTGGCCAAAGCTGAGAACAGCATTTGTCTATGGGTATAAACAAATATTTAGAAGCAGTTTGATATGTCCATTTATCGAAACAACAGCAGTAAGTTACCTCTTAGGACGACCTATGGCCACACTAGCCATTGAGTTTTGACCAGATTGGCAGTACGATGCATTTTCTCCTCAAATCCAATCAGCGGTTTGTTATTCCCACAACAGTCATGCTACTGTTACATGGGGGGCGGGGGGGGGGGGGGGAGACGACATCTTGCCTGGCATGTTGGCAACGTGGCTTGAAAGGTTCACAGTTAGATAAGATTGTTGATCACTCCCCACCCCTAACAGACTGCAATGCTCCTTTAGCACTGCTTGCTAGTCAGAGGGTTCTATCTTGATTTCCATATATGACCATTTCTCTGGTGAATGATCTGAATAGACTTCGGCCAGATTATTTGTCCTGACTATGTATATTGTCAACTTGATATAAGTCAAGAGTTGTTGGGAAAGAGGGACTCTCGGTTGAGAAAATGCCTCCATGAGATTTGGTTATAGGAAATAACCTATAGTGCATTTCCCTATTAGTGGCTGATGTGGGAAGGCCTAGCCCATTGTGAGTGGTGCCACCCCTGGGCAGGCAGCAGTCCTGGGATGTCTAAGAAAGCAAGCTGAGCAATCCAGTAAGCAGAGCTCCTCTGAGGTCTTTGCCTCCCGGTTCCTGCCCTGAGTTCCTGCCCTGGCTTCCCTCAGTGATGGACTAACAAGCTGTAATGAGGAATAAAACTTTGCTCCCTAAGACACTTTTGGTCATAGTGTTTTTATCATAACAGCAAAAGAAACCCAAACTAAGACAGAATTCTATTAACTCTTGAATGCAGTTGAACTTGATCATATTTTTCTTTCTAGGATACTTTGTATGGTGTTCTTATAAATCATTAAAAATTCCCATCAAGAGCCTTATTTTAGGTCTTCATTTGATGTCCCACATAGTTACTGTATGGGTTTGGATAATTGTTTCATCTTCAGGAGCTTCATTTCATTCATAGATAAAGCTATTCCTGGGTAAGCATATGTTTAGATAGTGCAACCTAAAATTTAGATTATTTAAATGTAAAAATTTGTGTAATTTAGTCACTTCCTTTGTAGTGAGTTAGGTTTTATTAAATAAATACCTTTTTCCTTTAGTAGCTTGAATTACCAATAATACCTATGTTGTTTTTCTCTTAAAATGGCATACAATAATGGAAGTTTTCTGGCAGGTATTTTCATTAGCAAACTGGAAACATTTTTAGCAAATGCCAAAAAGTAATGTTTGAACATATAAAACATCAAATGTTTAACATAAACTTTATAAATAGCAAAATGCTTAATAGAAGAAATTACTCATATTGTCACTAAAAATGATTGAAAACATTGACTACATGAGAAAAAAATATTCTCCTGAGCTAATGAAGTGAATTTATTATAGGTATTTCCTTTTCATTTTTCTATGGAAGACATATTAAAAATTTTAAAGTACATAGCTTTGAATTATTTTTGTTATTTTTTTGTACTGCCTCGTTTATTACAAGTTTGTGTTCCCTTACACTCACTTTCTCCAGACTTTGGTGTGTTATCGGTGTAAATCAAAGCCTGAGGCCATTTTTTTGGAGAAGGCGCTGGCTCACAGCGTGTTCTGCTCCCATCTGCTCCCTCCATTGCTGAAGAACAGGCTGAAGATAATCATCTAACCGACAAACACTCTGATGGTCATTAGCTAGGAAAGTGTTCCCTGAATTTCACTTGCTTTCTCATCCGACCCGTGCTGGCCTTGGAACAAACAGGTCGGTGGTGTAGCAGCAAGAGGTCCCCTGCTGCCAGAAGGAAACAAGGACTAGGAAGACACTTTGGACTCCTTAATTTCCAGGCCACTTGATAGCGGCCACAGTTCATTACCCAGGAAAATTGCTTGATCTCTGGGAAAGAGGGTGCTGGAGGTGAGGGAGAATGAGTTTGCCACCAACACAGTTCACCTGGCAACTCAGTCATTTGGATCTAACTAGAGAGTGATTGCAGCCATGTTCTTGACGAGGCTGAACGCTGCTTCCTGCAGTAAGTTGGTGATCGTGTATGTTCTGTGTCTAGAGTGTAGGGGGGATGAGGGAAGCAAAGGAAGACCCTCTCCCCTCTGCCACTCCCATCTGCTCTTCATTTCATAACAACGGATCCTGTCTTTAATTCTGTTGGAATTGATAAACAGTCACACCCAGAATAAGATTTCAAAGCACAATGTATAACTATTCAGATAAAAATAGGAACAGAGACACTTTATTGAGTAAGGGCTATACGTTTGTTTCCATACATGTTCTCATGCTATACAAAACTTTAGGACTGTGGTGTAGCTCAGTGGTGGGGTACTTACTTAGCATGCAGAAGACCCTAGGTTCAATCCCACAGCACCACCAAAATTTTTTGAATGAGTATTCTTAACTCTTGTTTAGTTGGACAATGTCAGAAATACAATACATACCCCCTGCTATGAGGATTTCCTTGTGGGGACGATCCTATAATCCCCCTCCTTTTACCTCTCTTCATCTTCCCTGGATTCTGGTCTCTTGTCACTCAGCCCAAGTTTTGGACATCTATTTCACAGTCTATTGTTTGATACCTATCTCTCAGATGACATTATAAGTACTAACTATGGGTAATAACTCCTGTTGTAGTCATGAGTGTATCTGCCTATAATGAACAGATGCATCATAGCTACCCTACTATGGTGGGTATAAGAAGAGGAACCTGATTTGAGAGTGCTACAGAAGCTGATCAGTGTCTGAAAACAGAATAACCCAACATCACACAAGAGGAAGTGCAGAACCTTTGAAGGGTCCTTTCTAGATGAGTTGCCCATCACACATGACTTCCCATCACATTTCAGCACCATGCACATTGCATGCATATGTTACATCCCAGAGTTCTATGAATCAAGGAAGAAAAGATTGGTTTTTTTTTCTTTTATGGACAAAATCAGCATCTTTAACATGACCAGATAAAGCAAAAACAACAACAAAAAATGGCAGCCCACTGTTGATAGTGTACTATCCAAAACAATTCAATTCTCCATTCGAATGTAGTAGCCTGGCATGGAAAGGAGTCTCTGTTACTCATAAATGTTAGTATTCATGACAGAATATCTTTGGAATTGTGGAGATACAAAGTATCGCAAGTACATGTTTCAGAGTGGGTGCCTCTACTATAAAGAACCCAGAGCTGGGAGAGAAGTCCGTATCACTGGTAACGAAGTCTGTTATAAAACATTCTCCTGAAACATGAAAAATGTTGTTAGCCAGGGGTAGGAGTGTAATTCGAGCATGTATGAAAGCTGAGGCAGGAGGATAACCCTGTCTTTAAAAAGTCCTTATATTGTATATGAAGCCAAGAGGTAATAATTACAGTGATTCCTTTTGTATCAAAATCAACAACCAACTCCATCACATAATTACTTAATAGAATGCTCAAGCAGTTACTCCCTCAAGGTGCACATTTAGTTGAATACTAGAGTTAAGAACTGGCAGAAGGAGGGATTAAGGAAGGAAACATTATTTGAGATATCACGAGATGAGGGTGTCATGGAAAGGAATTTAAGCCCCAGAGCAAACTTCCTCAAAAAGATGTATCACAGAATGATCACTAGTCAAAAGACTATAGAGCAGGAAAAATCTCAGAAGCCTACCCAAAGGTAATTTATGGTAAATGTTTAGATTTTAAGATGATTGTATCTGAAAATCAAGGCTGGTTTCTGTGAAAATAAAATGAGTTTTTACACACATGCATAAGCACACATAGGATCAAGAGTGTTAAAAAACATTAACTCAATATCTGAGAAAATGGTAATTATGATAAACATGTAAGGATCAGTGACTATGGAATATGTGGGTCACTTATTGGGAAAATGTACATTTGGACGAAATTAATGCAGTTTTCCCCCAGAAAGGTACATCAGTGGAGAATATCTTTTAAAAACTAACCCAGTGGGGCTCGGAGATGGATCGAGGTTAAGAGCACTGGTTGCTCTTCCAGAGGACCTAGGCTTGATCATTGTGGCTCACAACTGACCGTAGCTCCAGTTCCAGGAGATCTGACACCCACTTCTGGCCCCTGGGGCACCAGGCATGCACGTGGTGCACAGCCATTCATACAGGCAAAACACCCATACACATAAAATAATACAGTAATTTAAACAATAAAAGTTAACAAAGT